CCCCCCCATTCTTCCCACTTTCTCTGGGGGGTTTTCTCTAGCCAAATAGTCTCTCTTTCTCTTTTTCTCTCCACCCATCTACCCATATATATATATCAACCCATTCATCCACCCGTCCACCCGTCCACCCATCCACCCATCCATCCATCCATCCATCCATCCATCCATCCATCCATCCATCCATCCATTCATCTATCTATCAATCTGCTCGTCAATAAATCAACCCACTCCCTTTGTTTTTTTCTAACCCACCAGCCCTATTCTCCACCACACAATTATTTCTCTGCACACGTCTCTTTCTGTTTATCGAGCAATCCTTGTTTTTCCCCTCTCTCTCTCCCTATCCTAACATTAATTCTCTCTCCAACTCCTGCTCTTTATTAAAAGACCTTCAACCCTCGCACCGGTAACCACCCCTGAAATCCCCCCCTTTGATCCTGTAATTACACGTACATCGTTCTGTAAAAAATCACAGCAATCAGCGGCCAACAACACTTGTGCCTAGCCGTATTTTATTCGAAATCCATTCACCTTTATGTTGTGCGAGGGTTTATCTGCAGACTTTTGCCGGCACCGGGATAATTAATGTACCCGAGACAACAGTTTATCAGTCGACAGCTGACATGAATCTTTTAATCTCAGTTCAAATCGCTGCTACGTCCGCCAATGTTTTCACACCCGATTTCGCGCGGAATCTGATAACCCTACTCGTCGCTGTGGTTTGAAGGCGGTCGCTCTTCAAGTGGCATTCCGATGTAGTGTGGACGTGGTTTAAGATAATGCTGCTCCCCTCAGCTTGTCATTGCTGTATCAGCGGAGATTCTTTTGTGTTTGTGGGTGGAGGGGGGTGGGGGTATCTTTTGTTGTTATAAATTTGTGCGGCATCGTGATGAAATCAGGTGCTTGTCAAAATAATAAAATTTAAAAAAAAACTCGGCATTTTTCTGGCTGTTGAGCAATTCTTTTGATTGGTTCTTTTTATCTGTTTGTTGTTTGTTTGTCTGTTTGTTTGTTGGTTGGTTTGTTTTTGCTTTTTTTTGTTTTTTGTTGCTTTCTCAATAGCATTTACGTCAAATCCCTGTGTCGATATAACTGAAAAATGTCGATCACAGACATAAAAATTGACATTTTTCAGTTTTCAACGACACGTAAGCTTTCGAAGCCCTCACACTTTGGCGTCCATTCTCTAGCGAATTTTACCTCTGAAACCAAGCGACCCAAACCTCCATCGATCACACATATCTCAACTTTTGTTCATGATAGATGGGTATTTTTAAAAATTAAAAATAAGACAAATGAAAAAGATTAAAGATGATACCAATAACTCTATATCATTCCTTTTTTTTTTTTTTAAAGCAACTAACGAGCGCCTGGTTCCGTCGCCTCGCGTCACGACACTCTCCTGGGATTGCCATTGGCGTATCAGTGGAGATTCTTTTCTTTTAGTGGTGGGCGGGGGACGTCTGGCGAGGTTCTTTTCTTGTTATAAATTGGTTTAATGATAGTGGGCGGGTTTATTGTCTTTCCTTTTTTCTTTTCTTTTTTTTTTCTTAGACGTTTCTCGCATTATAATTTTGTTCGGGTTGTGGCTGACTGTTTACGTTCTGTTTCTTTTTGTAAAGGTATAAAAGGTTCAGAGAGAGACGGGGATGTGAAGAAAGGCGGGTGAGAGGAAAAGTAAGGGAGAGGCAGAGAGGGAGAGAGAATGAGAGTGAGAAAGACGGGTATAGAGGGAGGGAAAAGAAGAGATGGAAGTTGACGAGGGAGAGTGGAGTCAGAACTGACTCTAATGATAGTAAGAGAGGGGGCGAATACCGCATACAATTGTTTTACCCCTATCCCCCACCC